CTCCGTAATAGGGTTCAAGAGACTCTTCCATAAGTCGGCTAATCCAAACTTTGCAAGAGTCTGCTGATGTTGCAGTGTCCTTTTGGAGAGAATCTAATCCTGAGCTTAAAGGCTTCAACTGTGTCAGCAAATCCTTGGGCTGTTTGTATAGATTGAAATCGTTCATGATCTGAGCAATATCGATTGGTATCTCAGCCTCATGTTCTTCAACAATCATCTGGAAATAGGGATGGTTCCTCAGGAAAGAGTCAACACATTGCAACTGACTATTTCATCTCGTAGCACCTGGAAGCTGAGGCCTGACAGAATCCGCAAAATTCTTTAATAAGCCTGCTGGAACATGGTGATTTCTGAGAAACTTCTGTACTCTAACAATTTTTTTCATCAAACTGTCAGGAGTAATTTCTTGTCCAAGAAGATTGATTAAGTGCGATGAGCAACCATACACAAATAAGTTTTCATTGATTTCACCCAAGATTTGCCTTGCTTTCTCCATGACTTTGGCAATCTGTTTTTAAAACCGTGTGTTTGGTGCAGTATGTCCTTTTTTGGACCTTGTGCCACTAAACCCCACGTTCAATTCAATTCTATGACTTTGGCGTTGTCTGTTGCTATTGCTTTCACTTCACAGTCGAACTTCTCCTTTGCGACTTTGATTGACTCCTCCATTATTTCTTTGTGGTAGTTCGCATCTTTTGGATAGCTCTTGCAATCTGTCGCTTCCAGATAATATGCCTAGCCATTAGAGTAGATGCAGGTGGATAATCATGGATCATTATGGACATTACTCTTCTCATCTTCGATTAATGCGACAGTTTTTCCTGTTAGTGCTGCTCTTGTAGTTTCCTCTATCTCTTGAACAACCTCATCCAGAATAGACTTAGATAATGCTTTTCTACTTGGGGGAGTGTAGCCGGGTCTCAATGCAGTTATTAAATCCAAAAAAGTTGAATGTTCAACCACATCAAATGGTATAGCATTGGCATAAGAAAATTTCTCACCTAATATGTCTAATTGGTTGGATGCACTATTATTTGTCACTTTACCCCACCTTAGAAAATCAACTATAAATAATTTAAATATTAATATTTTCCTTACCTTTTTATGTGAATGTGTTCCTCTAGAAGTCTATATAAAAATATCAGCGTTAAATAAATACAATTAGGTACTGTATGGAAGTTTGTGAGCATCACATGTAAGCAATCACATGGCAGAGAACATAAACAGTGTAA